CCTCTGCGTACAATATGGCATGACCGCAACCGAAAGAGAGCCCTCTTTCTCAAACAGAATACTACAAGTCCCACCACACACTCCAAAAGACATTAGAGGCAAAAAGGAGGTGCCAGCTTTACCGTCGCTACACCAGCGAGCAGCAGCGCCATGTCGCACAGCATACTTAAAAAGCACCAACCATTAGCCACGTGATAAGCACGGCAAATATAAGCAGACGACTTCACTATGGGGGCCAATCAAAGTGCGCTTCACGAGAGTGAAATCACTTTTACAGAAAAGTCAACTGTCTATTTCAGAATTTACCCTCCGAAATGAGTCAAATGAATAAACGGAGCTACCTAGGGTGCTGTGACCCTTCCTAAAAAGTCTTCCTTTTTTATGAGGGAAGCTTCTTATGCATGGGTCTGTACATCCTCCGATGTTGTACGTAGCCACGGGGCATATACCCGGTCTAGAGCGGGCATGTGCCACAGGAGATGCGAGGTGGAAGATGGCGGTACTTGGAGTGTTCACTAGATAGACTTAAACGTAAACATTTTGACAGCAATCTGTCTGGCTGGGTAGAAAAGTTTAGAAAATTGAAATTGCTCCAGCCACAGTTCAAAAAGAGCCCGACGTTTCGGGACCGACTCGGTCCCTTCCTCAGGGGGTGACTGTCTTGGTCATGGAAGTGTCGTCGCGTCGTGTTCTCTCACCACGGCTCCGGCTTTCCCTTTCCACCACGTTTCGGAGACCGTGAACGTACACCGAAGGCATTGTTCCCAGCGAGCGGTTCACGTTAGCAGGCGTATGCTGAATGTGCCAAGACTCGAGCAAGAGCCTCTTTCCCAAATTCCGTTCTGTTTCAATAACAGAAGCGCCGTCTAAGTCAATTTTATGGTCGTGCTTCTCCCAGTGCTCCGCCAGAGCGCTACGTTGCACTTCCATCTTCCTGACGTCGTTCTTGTGTTGGCGCATTCTTTCCGGGAAACACTTGCTCTCGCCTATGTAGCAGGCTGGACACCCAGAACACGACAGCCTGCTACATAGGCGAGAGCAAGTGTTTCCCGGAAAGAATGCGCCAACACAAGAACGACGTCAGGAAGATGGAAGTGCAACGTAGCGCTCTGGCGGAGCACTGGGAGAAGCACGACCATAAAATTGACTTAGACGGCGCTTCTGTTATTGAAACAGAACGGAATTTGGGAAAGAGGCTCTTGCTCGAGTCTTGGCACATTCAGCATACGCCTGCTAACGTGAACCGCTCGCTGGGAACAATGCCTTCGGTGTACGTTCACGGTCTCCGAAACGTGGTGGAAAGGGAAAGCCGGAGCCGTGGTGAGAGAACACGACGCGACGACACTTCCATGACCAAGACAGTCACCCCCTGAGGAAGGGACCGAGTCGGTCCCGAAACGTCGGGCTCTTTTTGAACTGTGGCTGGAGCAATTTCAATTTTCACTAGATAGACGCACGGATGGACGCTTGGAAATACGGACAGACAGACAGACACACTATGAGACGGACGGACGCGCGTAGCGGGTATGTGCCACAAGGAATGCGAGATGGCGGTACTAGATTGGTGCTCGGATGGACGGATTCACAGACGGACGGACAGACTAGCACACGGACGGACGGATGGATGGACGCGCGGACTTACGGACGAATGGATTCACGAACGGCCGGACAGAAGAATGAATGGACATGCGGACGGACGCATAGACAGACGGACGGACGCCTGGATGGACGTACGAATGGTCGCGCGGACGGAAAGAAGCAAGAAAGAATAGACGGAGGGAAGCATGGACGGGTTGACGGACGCTTCACCACGCTCATCATCGTTCACTTCGTGGATATGCTGTGATTTTTTTTCTCTTTAAGTACATTAGTACTTCGAACTCTGTGAACGAGATCAGCTCGTGTTAGGTAGGAAAATGGTTAATGTATTGCCTTATGGTTAACGTGGAGAGCGTTTTTATCATCTGTACACGGTGCACACTGCTGTGCGACCAGAAGTGAATGACGCTATTAGAAATAGGTCATATCAGCAAATTCTCTGAGAAGATCAAAATAGGACGCTGAATTTGCTTTCATTCATCTAAGGTGAACAAAAACATTTTTTTTTCGGAGGTTCGCATTCAATGACATCTTTACACCAACTGTATGGTTACCCACGATGTAGGGCTTCTTTCTACTAACGCATGGTATTTGTGAGAAACAACATACTGTTCGGTGTAACGAAGATCAGGCAAAGCTGGGGAAAAAGCGTCAATAATTAGCAGTCGATGCCACATCGTGAAGCTTTTTGAAGTCGTTAAGTTCTCATACCGCGTTTTGTCAGTCAGTCAAGCGTAAATGACAATATTGTTCACAGACCAACCAAGAAATAGCTTCTGTCGCCACTATTATGTATGTCAGTGTGATGGCGGTACTTTCATGCATTGATGAGATAAGTGCAATTAAATAGTTGTGGTCCTCCAGCTTTCGATACCGTATTAGAAAACTTTTGCTTACTGCGCATTCAACCTGTCCGACGATTCCCAAGCGATGTCACTTGCTCGCTAGCGTTGAAACTTGTATATTTTATTATTACTAATATATTTGCAAACGGAGTTCAGATGTTTTCGCGTTTTGATGAGACACGTGGCCAGATTTAATAATTGGAAAAAGGGTCTTTCACCGTAGCAACTATCACTGTAATTGAAGAACTAAGTTTTTAGCCCTGTTGCTACATAGCACCAACCGGTAATTACTTGATAACTTGTGTGCCAGGTTTCTTCCTCTGAAAAAACATATGAAGCATCGGCTTAATTAGCCTTACCAAGAGGAAAACGACACTACTGCTCTGTATATAAAACGTGGTGAAAGTAATATTTTCTATGGTTCGGCGCAGCGGGAGCTTTGGTAAGTCTCTGTCAGGGAGATTCTTCCAGCAGTGCTAGCGGTGCCCTGTTTCTACCTAATTTTCTCACCCTTGCTTCTTCTATCCCTGAGCAAATCTAAGACACTTCTTCATACAGCACAAAATTGCTCCTATTCACTTAACACTGTCTGTCTCGTAGGACTTTAGGACGTCTTTTTCGGTAGTATAACGTAGTGATTGGCCCAAAGTTGATGATCACTGACCAAAAAAGTCATGTGTGAAAATAAGCTGAACTGTCACTTATTCCGTATTCTTCAGAAGTTTTCCGTGGTTTGAGTAAAGCTTTTTGAGCTTGCTAGCAGTGCTTGTACATCGCGTGATGCGACTACGAGCCACCCATAATCTGCAAGCCTTTAAGACTGCTTATTGGCAAGATGGTAGAACATACAAGCCGTTCTCCGTTCTGAGAATGCAGCCTCCTCAACATGCATTCGCTATTTGTAAAAATCTTTTTGGCAGGGCTTAAGCTGGCTTCCCGGCAAGTACCGCCACGCACTCATTCAAACTTCAAAAATGCCATTTGCGTAGCCAATTTATACCCGCTCAATGCAACCTTGAATTGCAATGCTCCCTGAGTGAGGCCAAGAAGCGGCTCAGTCTGAACTCGACGCGTGTAAATGACGAAAAAAAAAGATACCTGCAACACGCGCTAACACAAATAATCGCAGATTGAGTGCCAGAAAAAAAAAACTAATCCCCACACTAGAGCTCGAACAGAATGCTGCTCATTGTTGTCGTCTTATTGTTTTAGTGTGTCCGAAAATCACGGCGTTAATTCCATTCAGTCCTGTTTTAAACTCTGGCTTACCTCCTTTCCTCAGTAGCAGACGCTCTTGTTTTCTACGGGCAGCACAAAAGTGGCGAAGCTTTAGGTCAGGAGCAGGAAAATGCTCCTGCATTTTTTTTAATTTCGTGGCCACTTTCTTGCAGTGCAGCAGTTCAGCAAATAAGTGTCCGGTAGGCTCCTTAAAGACATCACAACAGGTGTTCTACCGTGAGACAAAAGAGTGCTTTTTTATATCCTTCAACATTTCTATGTAAGAGTGAATGATCGTTTCCCGTTCTGTCTAACCATATGGTTGACTAAACCAAACTAACGGAAAGGTCGGACTTCTGCGTCACGAACTTCGTTCAACAAGTTTGACTGCTCGGAGACACCCGCGACCGTGCCGGCAGTCGCATGTTTTGATGATTATAGTGCATGGAATGGAGAACAGAGCAATTATAATGGCGTTGCTAGCGCTGCTCGATAGTGACCTCTCCTATTCTCAAAGGCCGAGTTGCTACAGGAGCTATTATTTAGCTAGTAACGTCGACGCCCAACGTGTTTTGTTTCAGTGGAAATCAGAAAATTTGCTGCAAAAGATCATACCTACACACCAGTTACTACCGACACTTAACACCCGAATTCTACAACTTCCACTGATGCCTCTCTCTTGTGGGGTGGGTTGTGTCCCAATCGCAGATTTGTAGGCGTTACTCTACGCCGAAGTCGAGTACTTGCACGCGAAGCCAATCGGCTACTCCGGCTCGGTGATTGGAATTCAATGTGAACTTTAAACTCTCATACTTTGAAAATAAACAAAAATGTGGCAAATATTGACAAAGAACTAAAGTATCAAACATTCAACAATAGCGGTATAGGACAAAAAGCTAAATAGAGAAAAATGCTATGCTGTATTTACTTCAACTAGGAATAGCGGAGTCGCAAATGAAGGCATAAAGTTTTATAATTATAGATTATTAAATTCAAACGCATTACAATAATATAGGCTCAAGTTGAATAGGTATTGCCTCCAATCAGGTGAAACACCTTAGAAAATATTTGGCTGCAGCGAGGCCTACAGGAATGGTTGGTTATGTGTTGCGTGACGCGATTGAAGATTCCCTTTAGGAATTCCCATGAAAAGGCGCGAATTTCGTTTCTAAACAGCACTGAGTCTTCACGTGCTTTGCTTCGAAACATTGGCCGGTGGCCATGGGTTGAAAAAATAAAAAAATGTGTTGGCGCCAAAACTGCCATAACATTATCAAGAAGTAAAAAGACGAAATTTCGCATAGTAACGTGGCTCTTTTAACAATATCTTTCATATTAGGGAAGGACATAGAGCAGCGTATTCTGTGTGCCATGGCGAGACATATAGCTGCCTTTCTTGTGACGTTCGCTGGCATAACGTATGGTGAGTCTAAACTATTCTATTCCTCTTCCAAGCAGGCTTCGCTGTTCTATTAAATTGTACCGATCTTTCGTAAAAGAACTCCCGGTATATGCTGTACAAGTATGCTATGAAATATGTAAGTTGCATGAAATTTGCATACCTTTGGAGGCAAGTGTGTTTTTAGCATACCCAAAAAACAAAAAAAGGCCTTAAATATCAATAAACTGAATCACTGTATAAACACGCACACAATTGAAACAGCACATTGGCAAGTGAATGTTAGGTGCAACCGCATACATTCATTCGGTGAAATAGAAACGGGATATGCAGAGAACACCCACGTTACCACGTATGCTAGTGCCCCCGCACAGTAACAAAACAGCAGTGATCTCGTGCCGAAATTGTCGGTTAGATTTTCGTCAAAAGCGATTGACAGTATAACGCCAGCTAAGAAAAAATTCTTCCTGATGCATGGTGGTCAGTTCGGTATGGAGGAATTGGACGAAACCAAACAAAAAGGTGGCAGATCAGATGCATTGTGGAAATCGATGTAATGCGAAGCAGTTACCAAGAAGGAGATCGTGCTGCACATATTATCTATATCAGAATTTACATGTTGGCATCCGTAACTTATGTTTCTCATACACTCATGTCATGTAATAGCCATTTGTACGTATGCCAACCTATCAAAATGGCCGCGATTGCACCATCCATATGCATGATATATAAATCACGTTTTAAAATAGGTGCATGTATAGATGCTCGTCTTACCCCCTGCCATTTATGTTCGTCATACAGTCACTTCACGCAGCACCTGCTATGGCGCATATCTAGCTAGCAAACTGGACGCAAGAGCATAAGGAGCATGGCATGTAATTGGCGTGTTACATTGCATGCATTTCATGATTTTTGTGCCACCATCTGACACTGATGTTCGCCATACAGTTACGTCATGCAATGCGAACTTTGTTATATATCAAGCTAGCGAAGGACCATTAGTGTACTATGAGTGTGACATGTAAATCTTGTTGTACAAGACACAGCTTTCACGGTTTAAGCTTTGTTTTGAGTTATGTTTCTCATACAGACACGTCCTGCAATACCAAGTTCAGAGTATGTCAAGCTAGCGAGCTAATTGGTAGCATTTCATGAGTGTGGCATGCAAGTCGTGTTGCTGGCAACATGTCATATTTGGCATGTTAGCAGCTACCACTAATGTACGTCATACAGGGAAGCCAAAATAAAAAAAAACTTGGTGTATATCAAGCTAGCAAAACGGCCACGAGTTCGCCATGAGCGTGGCATGTCAATCTTGTTGTGCATAACATGGTATGATTTCCGCACTACTGCTTGCAATTTATCTTCGCCATGCAGTCACGTCACGTCTTCCTAAATTCGGTGCATGTCAAATGAGCGAATAGGCTTTCAGCCAACCATGAGTGGGACATAGAAGTCATGCTGCACATGTCATTATTTTCATAATACTCACCGAAATACTTTATACAGTCACTTCACGCTATACAAGGTTTTATGTATATGCGGCTCGAGAAATTACCGCGAGTGCGCCATAAGCGTGGCATGGCAGTCATGTTGCACTATGAATTTTATGATTTTCATGTTACCACCTGCGTCTGATGTTCGACATAGCCTCGTCACGATACACTTGAGTTCGTGTACATGAAGCTAGCGAAACCGCCGTTGGCATGTCATGCGCGTGGCATGCAAGTCTGTTGTACATGGCATGCTATGATTTCCACATGACCACCTGTTATTTAAGGTCGTCACCGAGTCGAAGGTTAAAATTGGTGCAAGAACAAGAGACATAAACGAAGAATACACAAGCACCGGTGCCATCTTTTGTATTCTTCGTTTGTGTCTCGCGATTTGCGCCTGTTTTAGCCATCAACCTACGCGAACATTCCCAACTATCGGTGCTACCCTCATAACGCTATGCCATGCAATAGCAAAATTAGTCTATATAAAGCTAGTGAAGATGCCACGAGCGTGCTATGTAAATGACATTGTGCATGATGGTCACGTCATAATTCTCATATTATCACCTGTCATTTATGTTCATTAAACAGGAATCTCTCGTCACACCTATATTTGGATATACAGAGTGGGGTTTTGTAAAGGCGGTCGTTAAAGAAAAAAAGGGTGTCTATTTAACCTTGCTACGATCACACTGCAAATAGCAACATGCAGTTCCCCCTTTATTTCTAATAATCTAATGTTTAAAAAGTACTAACAATAAAAATGACATGGTACTCATATTTTACGACATGCAATACTAAAATATTCACCATATAAGTGTAACAAGCTTACCACAATATAATCGAGGAACTAGGACACCAAATCATGCTGAAAGAACTATTTCTGATCTATATAGAAACGGAAGTTATTTGAGTAGCTACAACTTGAACATGAAGTATCTATTTTCAGTCCCCGTTTTTTTATGGTGAATGCTGTTCAAAGTCACGATGTCAGTAACATGATGGTATTTCCTTACATTTCCTTTGCTTTTGCAGGCATCCTAGCTATTGCTTTTGCCGAAGAAGCAAAAGCAGCAGTGAGCCCTGTTTCAGGAAGGGCTGGCAATGAAGAAGCTAGGATTGGCGGACGTCAGCTTGATTCATTAGCTGGGCAAACGTTCGGCAGGGAAGACGCTCGTCAGCTTGACTCATTAGCTGGACAAACTTTCGGCAGGGAATATGGACGTCAGCTTGACTCATTAGCTGGACAAACCTTCGGCCGAGAAGATGGCCGTCAGCTTGACACACTATCTGGACAAACCTTTGGCAGAGAATATGGCCGTCAGCTTGATACATTAGCTGGACAAACCTTTGGTAGGGAATATGGCCGTCAGCTCGACTCATTAGCTGGACAAACTTTCGGCAGAGAATATGGCCGTCAGCTTGACTCATTAGCTGGACAAACCTTTGGCCGAGAAGATGCTCGTCAACTTGACTCTTTAGCTGGACAAACTTTCGGCAGAGAATATGGCCGTCAGCTTGACTAGTTGGCTGGACAAACCTTCGGCAGAGAAGATGCTCGACAGCTGTACTCGTTAGCTGGGCAAGCCTTCGGCAAAAAAGATGACCGTCAGCTTGACTCGTTGGCTGGACAAACGTTTGGTTGAATTGATGGCTTACAGTTAAACATGTTGAGTAGACGAACGTTTGGCTACATCTCAAGTGATAGACCAAACCAAATGTGCAATGCTACGATGAATTCTTTCGCTTAACACTCACTGTTTTGTTATTGCTTCTGAAATCATTAATAAAGAATATTTCTTCGGTATTGCTATTTGTTCATGGCTATTGGTTCACTAGCAAAACTTGTATATGAAAGATGACCACTTCCTCATTACTTTAAGCCGGAATTACTTTACTCACATAAATAAAATCAGTAAGATACCACCATCAGACTATGCAATATCATCAAGAAAACAATGGCATATCGTGTCAGTTACAGATTGCTTTATATGGTATGACCTATTTCAAGTTTTTTTATGCAAAAGCTTAACGTCACTCTCCCTCACCATTCTTAATCTGCAGCTTCAGTTATTTGCACATGCACTATTGCTTATTTTTTAGGCCATGACGGTGTTGCTGAAACGACGTCTGAAAACTGGTAATGGGTGACTACACTGGAAATCGACACGGGCCCGAAAATTGATAATTTAGATTGGATTATTTATTTTATATTTGGTGCTCATGACACCCTGTAGCCCGAGAGTGAACTCTGTTTTTTTTCATTAGCTGCATAATTTAGAAGCAGATATATCGAACCAATTTTGTAAAGAAGGACCAGTCTCGAAAGTTGAGCACTACATGAAAACGCAAGTAATAATGTGGCGAAGACGATACTTTTTTCTTATAAGTATACATGTATTGAAGATAGAAGCAGCATTTTTTCAAGCCTCTAGGCTGAGGCAAGCTGTTTGTGAAATATATCTGAACAGGTGAAAATTTTTAAAAGTTTTTTTTATATTTCGCATTTGTTTTCTCCTAAGATAAAATATCTAGGTTTTCATAGCTTGGTGACCTATTACTACGTCATCTTTACAATATCGCCAGTCAACACCACAGCCATATCTCAAACATATACTTTTAAACGGCCTTAAACTTTCAAGTTTGTTGAAAAATAGGCCTATTGAAAAATCAGTTTCAAAAGCCTCATCTATAGCTTTTCCAGAAATCCCACAAAAAGACCCTCGCAAATCACAGACAGAATAATAAAGAACATGCCGCATTACTTTCTTGCAGCGACCCTATGACAGGTGGAAGTTCCAGGGTTTTTAGGATGCACTTTGGCGATAAACACGAAAAATCAGGCTAGAAAATGTTGTCCCGAGCTTCTAAGTCGTTTTAACGGGACCATAGTTACCAAGGAAAAGTAGATTTGGTTAACGGGATTGGTCGTATCAAGCATGCCCTGCTGAAATACATAAATTTGCTCTTTTAAATAAGGCGTGAAATTCCTAATTTACTGGCACCTCGTTTACTGACGTTCTCGCATGAGACAGCTAATACAGTAATCTGCTTTCAACGTTTTGCTTAAGAAACACTTGTAGGAAATAATAGGCTGGCGAAAGGTTATGCGGAATCATGATGAATATCGAAATTTAGTTATGCTGCTGTCGCCTTCCTAGCCTTAACACGGTTAAGCTTTTCCTTCCGCTAGTCGCCTGCTCAACAATTTAATGAACTTCCCTCTTGGATGCAATGCAGGATATCACAGTGTTTCAACTATGAAATACGGTAAAAAATCTGTCATTTTTACGGAACATAGTTTAGTAAGCCTAGCAAAGCACAAAACTTCACTCTTCAACCGAAGAGTGAGGTCAAAACTGGTGGCTCTTGGACTCCGAAATGGTCCACCACACACCAGTACGTAATGTGGGAGGCCTGCGTTTGTGCCTCTTTTTCGCGCAAACATTTGCCTGTTTCGGTTTCGGGCACTAGATGGCGCTTGGTCCGCTCGTCTAGTCAAGGTTTGGGCGCCAATAGTCATGGTGCGTGCCTCTTTGAGGCCCGCGCGCATACGCAGACTGCCTACCCAGAAAAGTCCCATTAAGCCGACATCTGAAATCGTGGTGTAGATGACCGTATGGCTGAAGGATGCCAAAATGCTCTACGCAAATGCAGATTACCTAAAAATCGCTCGTTATTTTATCATTGTATTAGTGCATATTGTTGCCACGTTGCAGGCCTATGTTTTTGGTGCATTTCGGTGCGTTTGTTTAACCTCACCTAGCCCCGCCGAGGTGGTTTAGTGGCTAAGGCACTCGGCTTCTGATCCGCAGGTCACGGCATTGAATCACGGCTGTGGCGGCTGCATTTTCAATGAAAGCAGACGAAGAAAGTGTTTAACAGCACAAACGACACGAGGGGATAGAATAGACAAGAACAACGTGCTTAACTAACTAAAGTTTATTGCAAACCAACTGCAATATATAAGAAAACAGAATGTGCGCATAACCATGCAACATCAGCAAACTTGCACAAACATTTGCCAAACGGCCTACCTTATCAAGAGCCAGTAGTATCAGTGGACCCTAGATACCTAATTTCACAGCCGTGAAAAAAAAAATCGAAAGAACGCTAACATATGAAGCACCAAATTGTTGAATGTCGAAGGCTTCGCTAATCTCGTGCTCGCGCCGAATCTTATAGCCCCCCATAAGCACACACTTGTCAAAAAATAGCTGACAGCCACACTTTTTACATTGGTCCGCCAAGGGGCTAGGAATGGAGTCTTTTATAGAGTAAGCGTGCTTCCTCAAGAAATTATTAACGCATCGGCCTGTTTCGTTCTATTTTTCTTCACGGCTGTGAAAATAGTGTATGCGGCACATACATGTGCCACATACATGTAGTTGGCACATGTATGTAGCACATGTTTGGGCAATGAAAAAGCTTGGCTATTTCTGAAGGAGGCTCGTGAATGCCACACCACACATCAAACTTCTCGCGTACAAAACTTTCATTAGACCAGTATTAGAATATGGAGCTGCAGTGTGGGATCCCTTTACTGAGTCCAATATTAAAAAAATTAGAAATGGTCCAAAGAAAATCTGTCTGATTTGTTTTTAATTATTATAGTTGGTGTACTTCCCCTTCACTTCTACTAATTAAAGCGAATCTCGAATAACTACAGCAGAGAAGAAGAATGGAGAGGCTCAAGCTTTTTTACCTCATTTTCCACAACAAAATTGGTATCAACAAAACAGTGCACATTAGAAAAGTAAGTAAATATGCTGTGCGCTCACGTCATTCAAAAAAAGTTTTAGATTACGTAAACCGCACAGGCAAATTCAGGTATTCATTTTTTACAAGAACTACCCGTGAGTGGAATCGCCTATCACCCGATGCTGTACAGTGTCCAACAGTTGATTTATTTATACATGCCCTCAATAACCACTAACAGTTTTTTTTGTACAGTCATGCAGCCCAGAGTTACGCAATGCTTCCATTTTTAGTAACTTTCAGTCAGCAAAGCTATGCCATTGTTGTAATGTTTTTCTTTAGTTTTTTGTAAATTAATACAAAAGTGTTGAATTGTAACCACTGTCAGTATGCTGAGTGATGTCAATTATGTTTTTGTAGGAAACATTTCTGTATGCCTATTCCTACTTAAGACCTGGTAAACAGGTCAGCAGTATGTAATAGATAAATAAATAAATAAATAAATAAATAAGTTTGATTATGTTGCGTAGTTATGCACACATTCTGTTTTCTTGCCAGGTTGCCGCGAAATGAGGCATCTGCGACGATTTTTTCAGGTTTTATATAGACTTGCCCCGATGAGAACAACGTACTATATGCGTAAAATGAAAATCGAACAGTTCAAGCCTTCGAGATGATATTGTACGCGTATTCAGCTATTACAATTTACAGGCGCTCGCATCCTGTTCGGCACCTCTACGCATATATGCGTGCCAGTCGATGGTGATAAGAGGACGGCTTGCTCTATACCATCGCGATGGCTGGCCGCTGTTCAGGTTTCATTCGATGCAGCTAGTATATACCTTAGGCCTAGTAATCGCAAGAAAGAATTTACTGCTCTGTGCTTCTGCGTTAGCCAATTAAATTTAAAAAGCTGGTTTTGATATTTTTTTCAATTTTTTGCCCCATATTTCACCCCACCTTACTTAATGAGGTTCTGAAACTTGCTTAGTTCGACAACGAATCTGTCGATTAGGTCTGGTGGAGAATAAAAATGACTGCATATCCACGGGGTGAATGATGGAGAGTGGGGTGCAGCTGGTTCCGCACGCAGCTGCCACGCCACTCCGACCTCCCGCTGTAGTACTGCAGGGTCTTCGCGGCGCCGCCGCGCTGCTCCTTTGTACGTTTCTGCCTCGCGCCCCCACACGTCGGGGTGTCTTCTTCGGCCAAAGCCGCCGCCACCCTGCGCGCACGCCGCTCAGAAGTCTTGTTCATCCTCCGCAACCGAGAACTGGAAGCGCGCGCGCGCGCCAAATTAGCGCTTTTATTGTATTATAGAGCACTCCCTGGCTTACGGTGCCACTGAATAACACGTGAGCGTAGATCGTCTCTCTCTCTTTTCGTACGTGTATACAAGTAAGCCCTCTTCTGTCGTACCATTTGCATTTTAGCTGACAGTACAAGAAGCGCCCTCTATGGCCGGTTCAAGAATTAACGAGGGGCGGTTACCCACAAGGAGGACGCACAAGCCCCACCATATGAAGCTTCTCCCCTAAAAATATATATGCATCTCCACGAAGAAAATAATGACGACTTTTAAAAACTACGTCTTAGATATATGTAGTCTATGTTGAAATCGTCCTCTAGATTAAACGATCTGTACTTGTAGGTGAACGTATATTGTTTTGTCACAATTACAATTTTTTGGATGGATTAAGCCTTTTTTGTGTCGGACATAAGCTGCTCGAGCATTGCCCCATGTATTGTAAATTGGGTGAGAAAGCGACATAATGAGTCGAGAATAAAACTCAGTAAAAATGTTCCCAACATCAACGTTAAGGTCACCGACTAGTATAAACGGTTTCTCTTTGTGGGCGTTTTGTGTCACTGTCTGAGAATTGTGAATGTTTTTCGTCTATAGTAAACTATTTTTATTCAGGCATACTTACTCGTATTGCCTATGGCAATGGTTTCTTCAGCGACAAAGCTAGGTTTTGAATCCACAATATATATCTTGAATTCGCCGACTAGTATGAAGTATTTGCGCTTATAACGTTTTATATGACTCGGTATTGTGTACTAATTTATGCTCTTGGAAATGGCGCAAGTGGGTTTTTTCACAACCGTG